TCATATTACAAAAGTATAATTATTATATAATTCTTACCTTCTCACCAGAATCATATTTTTTTACATTTCTAATTTATGAGAAATTTTACATAAAGTAACTCAATTTATAAATCTAAGATATTTTGTGTTTATTAATATTTTATATTTAACTAAAATAATCAACAACTCCTCGAATAGGTTGTATCTCAAGAAAATAAGTAGACTCTTTGGTCTGATGGTTATTTATTTAAATTCTTTAGATCAATATTCTAGTAATTATAAAACTATGAATCAGATAATTGAAATGGTTTATCTCAAAATGCAACTTAAATAGATGGAATAATTAAATAAAAAAATTAGATAATATCTATTCCTTTAGTAAAGGAATTATAATGATTTTGAAGATTGAAATTGCAAAATACTATTAATACTCTATTCACCAATTCAATCCTTATATGACTGTTTATTGAGAATTTAATAATAATTCATCATAAATTATGGCTTGCTTGGGAAGATATTATTTAATAAGTCAACATTCCAATCTCCAAAAATTAACTTTACTGTAGTTTTTTTACTTTTAAATTTCTTAGACTCTCCAATTAATTCTTATTTATGCAAAATTAATCTGCTCATTCAAATAATTGATGCTTTATTTACAACCATCTTTTAATATATCAATCTATGAATCTTATTAAAGAGATATTTATTTTAGAATAAGTTTCTACTAATATTTTTACAATAAAAATTGCTTTCTCAAATAAGTTTAAAATTTACATCTTACCATTCTCAATTATTAATCCTTTCAAAACAAATCCTATAATATTGTTGGTTATTACTAAATTATCATATCTGGTTGATCGCAGATTTACTTCAAATTTAGTAATTAGAGAATAATAATAAATATCTTTTATTTATATTTAATGACTAAACTTTCATTATATACATTTAAAAATTTTAATAGCTCTACTAATAATAAATATAATAGTTTATATATATTTTTTTTTTAAACTGATAAAATTAGATAAGCTTCTAGTAACTAATGAATGTAAGATTGAAGGACAATAGATTAATTTTTGTTAATCTATGCTAGCAGTAGAAGGAGTGAAGGTATGGGGAAGTGAATGCTTGAAAAATCCCTTGTATAAGAGCACAAATTTAACTTTAGGGAGTAGAATAATCTCCTAGAACAAATCATATACAAATAGAAGGTGTTTTGGATATTTTAAAGAATTCAAATTAAGGTTTAAAATAATTTCTATCAAATTAAAAAAAACCTAAAAATGAAATTAATCACCTTGACAATTTTATACTACTGACTCAGTATCGATCAGATTTGTTTTTGATATTAACAAAAACTAAATTAACTTTACTTCTCTTCATGAGGAGTGAGAAGAAATGGATAGATCTCTTCCATCTATGATCGAAGAGCTCGTGGCATCCTATATAGCTCTGTAGCTCTGAGGGGTGTAAAGTACATATATTTCATTTATAAAATAAGTAGATAAATCTAAAAAAGCATATATTTTCTAATTACAGTAGTTTTCTAATTTCGATAATAATTTTTACAAAAAGCTCATCATCATAGTATTTTTGCAGTACCAAATTTTTACCTCACTTCCATGAATGCTGGATTTTAATACAAGCTGGAGTAATCTTTAAGTAATTTAAAAATCAATAATTGTGATTCAAAAACTTGAGTTTTTACAATATTTTTTTTTGGGAAATATATTATTTGACTTTTATCCATTAATTTGAATGGAGCTTTATTATTAAATTGCAAATGGAAGAATTTAAGAATCTAAGAATTGAATAAATTAGATGGTCATTATGATTGAGTGTATTCAGTCTGCTTCTCTCGTGATGGTATTACATTAGCAACATGTAGCAAAAATCCTTTTTATAATAAAATTGATAACTCCATCTGTTTATGGGATGTATAAACAGGATAAAAATTAGGAAAATTAGAAGGTCAACATGAATGTGTTAAATCAGTTTGTTTTTCTCCTGATGGAAATACATTAGCTTCTGGTGGTGATGATAAGGTTATTTGTCTATGGGAAGTGAAGACTAAGAAAAAAAAAACCAAATTAAATGGTCAGACTAACACTGTCTAATCAGTCTGTTTCTCTCCTGATGGAAATACAGTTGCTTCTGGTAGTGATGATAAGTCTATTTGTTTTTGGGATGTCATAACAGGATAAGAAATTAAATCCTCTGATAAAAATTACAAAGATATTCTTGCATAAATTAAGATTCCACTCCAATAACATAGCCATATTTCCGAAGGTCGTATTTATCCCCTATCATATTGTTAGCCTCCAATTTCATCACAACACTCCTTATATCCTAATCTGCAATATTCTAAGCATAAGGAGCTCTAGTTCTCGAAGGAGAATTCATCAATCATCATGGAATTGATTCGAGACCTTTATTGAAATCCAAAAGTAGCTGTATTTCGGAAAACCAATTAGGCTGCCATTAAAAATGAAAATGATTAACATGTTCACATAATTTATAAATATCAAATATATCAATATATTTTACAATTGTTTTTTCTCTTTTAATGATCAAGTTAACTTTTTCTGCTCAATATATTTTCATCATTACTTAATATTTTATTAAGATAATAGTAAAATTGTAATCTTTTCCTCTTATTAATTATAAATTTTTAAATTATAAATTTGTAAATAGTTAATTTTAATTATTAAGCATAAATGTCTATTTTTCAAAATGATATTTCTTTTTCTCTCAATTTTACATTCTTTTTCCTTAAGAGAATAAATTTAAAATGATTAGATTATATTTTATAATCTATAAATATTAAAAAAAATAGCTAAAAAAATGTCTAAAAAATATTAAAACATATATCCTTACTCTATTTATATTTATAAATATGTTTTATAAAAACATATCATATCATCTAGCAAAGTCATATGAAACAAATAACACATTTCAGAAATGTAATTAAGAAACTGTGTTGTGCTCTCACACCATATATTTTTTACTACCAATAATTCTGTTTCATTAATAAGGATCCCCTACACTACTAGAGGTAAAAGAAGAGGTGGAAAATATTTGGGAAATAGAAGAGAAAACAATTAATATTAATACAGGGCATAATCCTAATTAGAGAAGATCAATCTTCAATACAATCATAAATAATCATAATTAAAGTATTGAGTATTTATCCATATTCCAATCTCTCAATAATTGGCTAAAAATTTTAAATTATTAAATCCTTAAACAGGATTAAAAAGAAAAATGAATGATATTAAAAATAATTCGAATTAATTAGAATTTAAATTATAAATAAAATTAGATATTCTATATTATTAAAAAATAATGCTATTCTAATATTGAAATGACTTCTCAATATCATAATTAACCTCAATTATTATAATCAATTAAACATCTGCAAAATGTATGGACTTCTTTATTATAAAAATATAAGATACTTTAATCGATTTTGCAGTATATAACTTATAGTTAGAGTAATAGAAATTCAATATTATTTTTTCAAAAAAGAAATGAGTTGCATTCATCATGTTAGGAATTCTGTATCAATGATATGTTTAGCTCCTCATAAGTGTTAATGCTTAAGGAAACTTTGTGTTGAATGCCTTTATGAACATGAAGTAGATATCAAAAAACATACAATACCAATTACTAATTTCTAAGAAAGGGTTCTAAAAAAATTACAAGACTCCAAGCTTGAGGAGACATCAGAGTTAAAAAATCAGAGGATGGCTTTTAAATCGTTACTCTCTCAAAGTGAATAAATGTTGAAGAAAATTTGGGAGGAATTGTTACAATCAATCAACTAAATATATGATTGGATTGAATTGGAAAACTAATCATACTTAAACTTCATCAACAAAAATACTGATCTAGCTGAATCTTCCTACACTGACTTAGAAAAATTAGTAAACATTGTTGAAGGAACAACTTTAAATGATTTTAATGCTTTGAAGAATTCTTATATGAAGAAGTTAGATTAGACCAAGACTTGGTGGGACCATCATATTAAGGCTATTGTTGAAAAGTCTAACCTAGGAATTCAATAGATTCAATCATTAATTAAGTAAGTCTTTAAATTATTTCTTTAGGTTTCAACCTAATCTAGAAGATGAATGCGAAGCTTATTAAATGAAAGAAAATCTTTTTGAAATACTAATCTCCATTCAAGATATTGATGTATCTTTCTATGAGAAGATTCTTGAAATACTTAGAGGAGAGAAAGTTTCAGACATACTTGTATTCCTTTCTTAAACAAACAATCAAAACCTTTATGAATCTTTAGTAAACTAGTAAGAGAATATAAGCAGTGTTAAGAAATAGATAAAGTAAATCACAAATGCATTGAGAAACATTTAGGATCATTAATTTAATTTAGGGGATTATTCTTCATAGGCTTATGAAAAGGCAAGATAAAATTTAATTAAATTGTTACCAGTAAAAAAAGGGATCATAGATTTTATCATGTTTTTAGTTCTTCTCACAAGCATAGATGTAAAATTTATTTAATGTGGATCGAATGCATTAAATTTATTAGTAGGAATGAAGGTAGATATCAGGGGCCAATCCTTAAAGAATATAAGAATAAAGAATACAGCTTTGTTTGGTGGTAACTTTGTAAGATGCAACCTGAGTGGATCGGAATTTTAAAATGTAGACATAAATGGAGTCAATTTGAATGGTGCAATATTGTTGAATTGTAAATGGAAAAATTTGAAAATCGATGAAATAAATTAGTTAAATGGTCATTGTGGAGGTGTGTTGTAAGTCTCAATATCTCCTGATAGAAATACATTAGCATCTGCATCTGGTAGTGGTGATTTGTCTATCCGTCTATGGGATGTGAAAACAGGATTATAAAAAGCTAAATTAGATGGTCATACTAGCGCCATCTGGTCAGTCTGTTTCTCACCTGATGGAAATATATTAGCTTCTGGGGGTGGCAATCCTTTGGGTGGTGGTGATAACTCTATCCGTTTATGGGATATTACAACAGGCTAATAAAAAGCCTAATGGAATGGTCATACTAACACTGTTTACTCAGTTTGCTTTTCTCCTGATGGAAATACATTAGCTTCTGGTAGTGATGATAAGTCTATCCGTTTATGGGATGTTAAAACAGGATAATAAAAAGCCTAATTGAATGGTCATACTAGCACTGTCTGCTCAGTTTGCTTTTCTCCTGATGGAAATACATTAGCTTCTGGGAGTGATGATAAGTCGATCCGTTTATGGGATATCAAAACAGGATTATAAAAAGCCTAATTAGATGGTCATGTTGATACTGTGAGATCAGTCTGTATTTCACCTGATGGAAATACATTAGCTTCTGGAAGTAGTGATAACTCTATCCGTCTGTGGAATGTCATTACAGGATAATAAAAAGCGTTATTGGATGGTCATAGTGATACTGTGAGATCAGTCTGTATTTCTCCTGATGGAAATACATTAGCTTCTGGTAGTGATGATAAGTCTATTCGTCAATGGGATGTCAAAACAGGATAGTAAAAAGCCTAATTGAATGGTCATGCGAGTTATGTTTGGTCCATCTGTTTCTGTCCTGATGGAAATACATTAGCTTCTGGTAGTAGTGATAACTCTATCCGTCTGTGGAATGTCATTACAGGATAATAAAAAGCGTTATTGGATGGTCATAGTGACGCTGTAAGATCAGTCTGTATTTCTCCTGATGGAAATATATTAGCTTCTGGTAGTGATGATATGTCTATTCGTTTATGGGATTTCAAAACAGGATAGTAAAAAGCCTAATTGAATGGTCATACGAGTTATGTTTGGTCCATCTGTTTTTGTTCTGATGGAAATACATTAGCTTCTGGTAGTTGGGATAAATCTATTCGTCTTTGGGATATTTAAACAGGGTAATAAAAAGCCATTTTAGATGCTCATAGTAGCATTGTCAACTCAATCTGTTTCTGTCCTAATGGAAATATATTAGCTTCTGGTAGTAGTGATAACTCTATCCGTCTGTGGAATGTCATTACAGGATAATAAAAAGCGTTATTGGATGGTCATAGTGATGCTGTAAGATCAGTCTGTATTTCTCCTGATGGAAATATATTAGCTTCTGGTAGTGATGATATGTCTATTCGTTTATGGGATGTCAAAACAGGATAGTAAAAAGCCTAATTGAATGGTCATACGAGTTATGTTTGGTCCATCTGTTTCTGTCCTGATGGAAATACATTAGCTTCTGGTAGTGATGATAAGTCTATCCGTTTATGGGATGTCAAAAAAGAATAATAAAAAGCTATATTAGAGGGTCATAAAAATACCGTCTACACAGTTTGCTTCTCTCCTGATGGAAATACATTAGCTTCTGGTAGTGATGATATGTAAATCTGTTTATGGGATTTTAAAACAGGATAATAATACACCAAATTAGATGGCCATACTAACACTGTCAATTAAATTTGCTTCTCACTTGATGGAGAAATATTAGCATCTGGTAGTGATGATAAGTAAATCCGACTATGGGATGTTAAAACAGGATAATAAAAAGCCTTATTCGATAGTCATTTAGAAGCTGTCAATGATGAAAATTCATTAGCTTCTGTTAATTTTGATAAATCTATATGTTTATAGGATTTACAGACATTAGAAGAAATTAAATCCTAAATTTAAAATAAGTAAGAAGATTTTATATAATATATACCTCCACTTCAATTAAATACTTATATTTCAGAAGGTAGTCTTTTAATTTTTTATTTTTATAGTCTCTAATTATATCTCTATACTCATTCTTTCCTAATAGCCAATATTCTAAACATAAGGAGCGCTTATTCTTAAAGGAGAGTTTATAAATTATGCAGGTATAGATTTGAGGCCATTATTTAAACAAAAGGGTAGCTGCATTCTTGAAAACAAATTAGAATCAACGTAGAAGTGAAATAGTTTTTTATATTAACATAAGTTATTAATATCAAATGTGATTATTTTTTCCATTACTTTCTTTTTGAAATGATCAAGTTACTTTAATGCTTTATTCATTAGATGTTATCTACTTAGAGAACAAGATATTATTAAATTGTAAATCTTTAAATTATAAAATTATAAATTAGAATAAATAAAAAATTAATACAGTATTGCATAAAAATTAGAAAAACTATTCAAAAATGCAGATTAAAACCTCAAAATTAAGTAAAATTCAACCCAAAAATGCTTATAAAAAAACATGCAAGAATTAAAATAATTAATATAAAACAACACTAAAAAAAATTAATCGAAACAATTACAATCTAAAATCTAAAGCATGCATATCTAAGGAAAAGAGCAAAAATTCCTTATTCTGATTTTATATATATAAAATTAAAATTAATTATATAACTATTTTATTATCAGCATTTAATTGCTATGACTCATAGAATCATTTAGATGTGTTAAAGTTACATTTATTTAATTAAATGCAAATTAAATAAAGTCTATAAAATTTTACAGTAACTTAAATGTTGTTTTGTATAATTTGAATTAAAAATTCCTTAAAAATTATTTATTATTTTCTTTTCAGTTAAATTTCAAATTTGAATTAATTGATGACTGTTTACTATCAGGAGTTGAAAGAAACAATATCCAAAAATAAGTTAAAAACTCAGTACTTGATTTATGTTAAGATATTACTGAAAATTATTTCGATCTTTGTTGAGATACTCCTAAGACTTTAAGATTTCTGACTATGCATCAATAGAAAGGTAAATATCATCAGCATTAGACTAAATTTTAAGAATTTATTCAAAATTATGCAATTCACTTTGCAATGAAACTTTAGATTTCTTTCTAAGAAATAAATTGCTTAGCTAAATTAAATGATGAATTTCTACATCCAAATGTTTAAGCGAGCAATAAACTAAAATTAGTTTATTATTATTGATAATTCAAATAACAATCAATATTTTATTATTGAATTCCCTATAAGAAAAATTATGGTTATCATTCTTATAAATTGATAGATATAAATATTGTTGTAGGAGCCTTCATTCATATTCCTTTGTCAGATATCCCTCCATTTCATTTAGCAGTGTAAATTTAAAAAGCAATTTCTGTTTATCTTAATATGGCATAATCGTTCTAAAAAAGTATTTTTTTATTAATAAATTTCAAAGATATTGCTTTTAATTTTTCAACATCTCATTAAAATAAGCATGTTTCAAGGAAATCAATTTCCTAAAAAATCATTAATATTAGCAACACTATTCATAATCATTAATTAATATTTTAAAATAACTTATTTCATAATCGAAATAAATAATTTCATAAATTTTCATCTTTAACTTATTGCTATAGTAACTATCTCAATACTTAATGCACATACAGGTAAATCAAAGATCTATGACTATTCTTTCTATTAGTTCAATTTCGATAGATTTTTTTGTTTTTATCTCTATTGTAATTAAATCATTTCTAAATAAAACTGAATTCCATAGCAAATGGAACAAAGTGATGATAGTCCTTAATGACAAGAAAAATATATCTGATTATTATATCAATTAGAGCTAATTGACATATTCAAATTATACAAATAAACCAACAAATTCATTAATTAATCTTCTCTATTGAAATGGAAAAATTAAATTTGATAGGAAATTCATTTTGTGTGATTTTTCTATTTGTATCCTCAATCAATTTCTTTTTATATTTATATAAGAATATCAATTAGATTAAATAGTAGAAGGTAACATGGATTCTTTAAGTCTTATCATCTATAT